CTACCTCGGCTTCTCTATCGGGCTGATCAAAAATTGAACTTGCTGATTGGCTGTTTTCTTTTTTAGAAGTTTGTATTACCCGCCAAAATAAGTTGGCCTATAACTAGGGTTGTTAATGGGTTGGCCCAATCTTCAACCCACCCACCAATGTTTTGTCCGGGTTGCTCCATAGTGCTCCAGGTTGCACCAAATTTAAAGAAATAATTTTAAACCCACTTCAACTTGGGTTCTACTCAGGAGTGCTCCGAAGTAAGCTACTCCATTAACAACCCTACCTATAACCTATCGGTCATAACGAAGGGTGATATCTTTTTTAATACATATATTAAAAATCATAGTAAAAAATTTTTATTAGCGTTTAATATGACCGACATGACTATGACCAAAAGTCATATGATTATATGGCCAAGATTATAAAAAAAAAAAAAAATTATAACTTAGGTCATCGGCCAACACTGGTGGATGCACACTCATACACTGTATATATCGATATATAATATTTATACGTACTGTATACGTACGTAATAATTATATTACCTACTTATGCTAAAGTTTATTCATAATATATTTATATATATGAGTGTAGCTAAAAGAAAACATACACATTTATATAGCCTATATATAAATGTGTATGTTTTCTTTTAGCGACACTCATATATACCAGTTGGTAATCAAAATTACTGCAACTAAGATAATAGTTTATACGAAAGTTAATTTTTATATTTTGGCAAAACGAGTAATTATATTAAGATTAGACTTTAGCTACGTAACAAAAATTAATACTTTATTGTAACACGTATCAAAAACTTTATACGTACGTACGTTTGTTTACCAGATTTAAACACTAAAAAATTGCATTAAATTCGGCAAAATTACTATTAGCATATTTTTATTGCTTAATCATATATAGATTTTAATAAAAATTGTTCTGGTAAGTTTCTAGTAAATACGTAACATTTATTTAGATAATATGTAGCTTTTTTTTTTTTTAAAAAAAAAAAAAATTCGACTATATTATCATTTGGTTATGCATACGCACTCGCTGATTGGCTGGGGTGATATTGACGATTAATAATATTTTATTTAAGTACAGAAGTATAAATCATTCAAACAAATTTTAATAAGTTTAACCAGCAAGTTTATGTCTTGTCTTGATGCAATACGTAGTAAATTTTGATTAGTACTCGTATCATTCCAATCTTGTGAGAAATTTCTTATAATTTTGGCAAGAATCCGATGAAACAAAACATCTGACATTCTCGACGTTGATTTGTAATTTTTTAATTTTTTTGCTGACATACATTTGCCGGATTTATTCGGCGGGCTTACTCCGTGTGTCACATAAAAAGGCCAGAATCAATTTTATTCTTCAAATTCCTCACTTCCTCATCGAGATTTCAAAAAAAAAAAAAAAAAAAAAAACCATCCATAAAGTAGTTTATACCAAATTTACAAAAATTCACAAAAATTCAAAGTTTCCGTTAAAACAAGTTATCCAAAGGTATGTCGTCTCTGTATAAACCGGAGATGAGCAGAAGACCGAAGATGCCACTACCGCCGATTCTGCTTGCTTGTAAAAGCTCTCTTTCTCTCTCCGGTCCTCATGGCTAAATAAGAGCCATTCAAAATAAACAGATTGTGTTACAAAGCCGTATATCAAGTCCTTTGGACTTTAGAGAATTTACTGCCCCCATCGTATGATGGGAGGTTTGAATCATTCGGGTCTCGTTCTCTTTTCGCTGCCGACTGTTTGGATCTATCACCATGTACTCGTCTTTGGACCAGTACCTAAGGGTGATGAACTGTTTGCGACAACATACAGCTTTTGTCTTTTCTTATTTTGTTTGTCTGGGTTATTGAAGAATGAAGTGAGGGATGGTTTGTTTGCATCAAAGTTTTCAACGACGACATATTTATGTCTTGTTTGAGGCTTTCGCAATCACAATACTCTGTGCTCGATATCGGCCAGAGCCAACCCAACGATGTCACGACAAGGTTGAATGAACGATAACAACACACACTGCACCTTTTTTAGCATTTTCTTTTTTTTTTTTTTTTTGTGATCAAAGATTCAACTACCAAGTCGGCAATGAAAATTTTTATGTTCGCTTTGCTAAAAAAAAAAGAGAGCCATTGGTTTCTTTATGGAAGTTAGATTGGCTACTATAATATGAAATAGAGGCGTATTTATATCGTTTGATTTGTCGTTATGCACGTCCTTAGGGGCAAATGAGCAAAAAGAGCAGTAGAATATGGCGGCCGGCACCTTGTTTCATTCAGAGTTGTGTCATGTGGAACGATTACTATATCTCAAAGTTACTAAAACCTCTGCCATCAAAATCTCTTCATTATATGGTGAACGGCCAATCTGCACCCTTTTTATTTTGCACTTAAGTTTACCGTATATCAGAATATCATCTCAGAATGGCTGACCACCCCGACGACTTAATCGACTACGATGAGGAAGATGAAACCATACCGACCGAAGCTGTTCCAAACGACCAATTAGCTGCTAACGGCCAAGAAGCTACTGACGAGGATAAGAAGGACAAAAAAGGCAGTTACGTAGGTATCCACTCAACAGGCTTTAGGGATTTCTTATTGAAGCCAGAACTGTTACGGGCTATTGTTGATTGCGGATTTGAACATCCATCCGAAGGTTTATATATATATTTGTTTTCATAATACGATTGATTTTATATTTCTAACGTGTAAGTTGTTTTATTAATTGCTAACGTCATTTATCAATAAAAATTTGTAGTTCAACAAGAATGTATTCCTCAATCAATTCTCGGTATGGATGTCCTTTGCCAAGCCAAATCGGGAATGGGAAAAACTGCAGTATTTGTGCTCGCTACACTTCAACAAGTGGATCCTGTTCCTGGAGATGTTGCGGTTATTGTTCTTTGTCACACTCGTGAACTCGCATTTCAAATTAGGAACGAATATATTCGGTTTAGCAAATATACACCTGAGGTCAAGATCGATGTTTTTTATGGAGGAATTCCTATTAAAGAAGATTACAAAAAGTTTCAAAGCAAGGATACCATTCCACACATTGTTGTTGGTACACCAGGAAGAGTTCTTGCTTTGGTTAATGATGGTCAGCTGAAAGTGGGTAGTGTCAAACATTTCGTTCTTGACGAATGTGACAAAATGCTGGATCAGCTTGGTAAGTTTTAATGTTGCAACAAATTTTGATTTTATCCTTGGCCTTAATTTAGGATGACAACTTTTTAGCTTAACCCAGCTCGTCTAAGGTTTTAATATCTTATGAGATTATAAAAACTTCTGATTCAAAATATTATTAATTACTTTTTTCGTTTGAAGATAAATCTAAATTTACGTTTATTAACCATTTCTAATATTTTATTATTCGATGTAGATATGAGACGTGACGTCCAAGCTATCTTCAGAAAAAC